CCTGAGGCAGCTTAGGAATCTGCCACTCGTGTGGATTCCGACAGAGTTCCTGCAGCCTCACTTTAGCCTGGGCCACCATGGCCACTGTGGTCATTTGGGGAAGTAAACCAGTTGGTGTAGAGCCTGTCTCCATTATTCTGTCTTTCAAACAACTAAAATGTATGTTAAAAAAAATTTATATACATTCTATATTTTACCACAAAACAATATCAGCTACCTCATAATGCTTTCAGATAAGACAAAAAATGAAACAAAAAGTTCTAAATTCATGTTCTGTACAAAAGTACACTTTGCACAGTAAAGTTCAGAGACTTTGGACCAGAAAGTCTAACTAGCCCGAAGCAGCTGAGTGTCTGAGAGCTATTCATGAGCTAATTATGGGTGATACTTATTATTGCTCTACACCAAGCCCTACAGCCATAGGCTTTATGGACATTAACATCATTAATACCTGCTAGTTAATCCTGTTTTGCAGGTCAGGAAACCAGGGTGCAAAAGCTCAGGGTCCTGGCCGTGCTACACAGCTGCAGGATGCTGACAGCTGTTTTACAGCAGAGAAGAACAGGAAACTTCCTGCTTCCCCTTCCCGTGCCCTCTTCCCAGGGGCACATCCCTCTTCACATCCCTTCTTCTCAGGCCTGCAGATCCTAAGAAACTGGCTGACTCAGAATTTGAGACTTGCTCTTTGACTTTTTAACAAAATATTTTCCTCCAAATGGGCCAAATGGTCCTATGACTACTTCTGTGTTCCAAAGGAAATCAACTGGTTTCATTTGTATCTGTGGAGTGCTCATGATGAGCAATTAGCGTTAGCAATGAGTCCACGTGACAGGACAAGGTAGGATTTGTGCTAAACAGCACGGAAGAGGGTAAGGTGAACCTTGAATTCAGATGGCCACTTCGTGGAAGATAAGCAGGCTTCACAGTCCTTTTCTGTATTGTACCTAGGATTGTATCCAACCAACAGCAGGTGACAAAGCAGAATGGTATGCTGGGAAAGGCAATGGAATAGAAGAGAGGAAAATGTGTGGCTTGGGTCTCCATCAATCCTTTTCTGCTCTCACCCCTCAACCCAATGAAATTCATGGTATTGATAAGTTCCAAACACCTTGTTGAAGGTGTTACTAACTTGAAAGGGGCAAAGAAAAGTAGTTAATGCAGTGGTTAACAATCATTCCGCATGGGGAGTCTGGGTTCGAGTGCTGGCTCTGCTGCCTGCAAATGTGTGTGAGGTAGTATTGGTGGCTCGGGTACTTGGGCTGCTGCCACTCCTGCAGGAGGTTGAGTTCTAGGCTCCTGGCTTCAGCCTGGCCAAGACTTGGCTACTCTAGGAATTTGGGGAATTAGCAGATGCAAGGTGTTTTTCTTATCTCTCTTTATGGCTTCCAAATTGAAAAAGTAGATATTTTTAAAGGGTGCTGGAGAAAGGAAAAGGCTAGGTATCTTTGAGAAGTAGTTGTAAAAACAGTAACAACTTCAAATTCCATAATATGTGCCAGGCACTGTGCAAAAAATGATTTCTCCGATGAGCACATTTGCTTCTCCCAAGAAGTCTCACAGTGGACATTCCTATTAATTTAGTATAAAGATGAAGAACACAAAGGCCAGAGAGGATCCACACGTCTGGTCGCTGCATAGGAAGGGGCAGAGACTGAAGAGAGAGGCTGCCATGGAAAAGAAGGGGATGTGCTTGGGGAAAGACTGGATAAAATATTTGCTTTTCCTGAAAGGTTTACAAAGAAGCAACACACAGAAAAGTTTGTAGCAGACCTCTGGAACTAGCCAGAGGACCTCACATGGGCATGCACCATACTCCTCTCCCGCCTGCACTCCCTTCCAATATGACCTTTATCTAGTGGACTTAAGGAGTGGCTACAGTGCCAAATGAGAGAGGAGCCTCATGTTTGGCAACTTGTCAATACAACACAATTATTTCCTGGTTTCTGGCCAAGGCAGCATACCATACAGTCTCATTCTAAGCAAGCAGACTGGATGGTGTGTGTGTGTGTGTGTGTGTGTGTACATACATGGAGTATTTGTGCAATACAAATACAAAGCCCACAGGCACACTTTGCATTCTTGGCTAACTTTCCTTCCTCCTCACAAAGAGAAGAGATTATGTGATTATTTTAGCCTTTCTTCTCTTCCTGAAATGGTTTAGGAAATACAGTCTGACTGGAATTAAACTACCAACTGTACCACATCTAAAGGCAGGCTGCTGATACCCTGTGTGATGTGGTGTTCCTAAGAAAAGGGAGCAGTGACAACAATGCAGATCAGGACTATCTTTGGCCACTGAAGCTGAACTCTTGGGAAGAGGACCAAGGAGAAACCTCCCCACCTCACCCAGCTGTGCCCTCTCATCTGTTATACCCGTTCTCAGATAGGTGGAGGCTGCTTTAGATTTCTGAAACTAGAGATTGCATATTTTCTTACAGATATTTAATTTACTTGCTCAAGTTTCCCTAAGCCACTTCCTCCGCACATTGCAAAGGCACTGAAACCAAAAGAAGTCATAGTTTATCGTTTAACCAACCCCTCCCCAACTGCATGTGCTGGGGAGCAGCTCCCACGCCTCCAGCCTAAGGGAAATTCTCCCTCCACATTCTCAACACCTAGGCTTGGGCTTACAACTTAAAACCAAATTGCTCCTCAACTGGTCCTCCTCAGTGGAAAAGGCAGAGTAGTGGACAACTGGCCCAGATCCACACAGAAGATATGGCAGAGAACATCTGGTACCACAGCAGAGAAAGCAGAGCATAACAAAGTGGACAACTACCCAATTCAAGCGATGACAGCAAATATCTGGGTGAATGGAGACTCTAAGGTCAACTATGTTAGCCAATGGACATTGAAAGGATTCCCTCATTTTTGGACTGGTGAGATCAACATTTCAGTGTGTGCCACATTGGGACCTTGGGTTAGTATCAGGTGGCCATTCCCTATCCCAGGATACTGGGGTGGTTGGAAGGCCGGTATGGCTTCTCTCCTTATCTCTCCCAGTCCCAGAAACAGTAAGAAGAAATAAAAAATTTGGAACCCATGATCACACCCACTTTACCCTAACCCTCGATCCTTTCCATCCTGATGAACTATGTAAGGAAAGGATGCACAAATGTGGGGGGGAAATCAAATTGTTCTGTACTGTTTAAATGCAAAGGGTATTATGGTTAGCGTGCATTCATGAACCAAACACTTATTGTTTACAGGAAGCTGTCAATCCTTTTGCAAATTGGGACCTTTCTGCTTTTTAAAGTGAAATGTTTTCTGGTATCTACTGCAGTTAACTTCTTGTGAATGTGAAATTTGTCTTGTTTCCTTTTTAGAAACATGTGCTTCTTTCTTATCTATTTTAAAGAGACAGATAAAGATAGAAAGACCTCCCATCAGTAGGCTCATTTTCCAAATACCTGCAATGGCCAGGGTTGGGCCAGGCTGAATCCAGGAAGGCAGAACTCAGTCTGGGTCTCCTATGTGCCTGACAGGGACCCTCCCGCGTGAGCCATCATCTCCTCTCTCCCAGGAAGCTGGAATCAGAGGGCAGCAAGAGTACTCAAATCCAATCCCACTGACATGAGACCAGGTTCAACTGTGTCTAAGCCACTATACCAAACTCCCTCCCCTGAAATCTGAGAGCAAACTGGGTCAGTACTCAATGCAGCAGGTGAGAATTCTGGGTTGGTTTGTTTATAAAACCCAGTAATCAAATGGCAAGGTCCTTCAAGCTTATTAAAAAGGCCCAGCCCCATACTCCCAATGTTCTGGTCCTCCCTCGTTCTTTCTCTTCTGGTTAGTGACTTCTGTTATATGTACCCTTCTCTAAAATCTCCTTCCAAGGACTGGTCACATTTCATCGGTTCTGCTACAGAAGACTTAAGGAGACCAAGGAGAAGGAAAAATCTGTTTACTGATCATATCAACATTAAGAACCCAGGGTTTTTAATTTCCATTTCCTGCAGCATAGTTTGGGCCTGAGGTAGATGTGGTTAAAGGAAGAAAAGAAGGGTTGGTAGCGGGTTAAGTCACCACTTGCCAGCCAGCAAGCTATATAAGCACTGGTTCCAGGCCTAGGAGCTTCACCTCATATCCAGTTTCCTGCTAATGTGCCTGGAAAAGCAGTGGAAGATGAGCCAAGTCCTTAGGACTCTGTCACCCTCATGGGAGACCCAGGTGGGACTCCAGGCTCCTGCTTTAGCCTGGCCCACTCTCAGGAACTGTGGTCATTTTGGCCATGAACCAATGGATGGAAGATCTCTCTATCTGTGTAACTCTACCTTTCAATAAATAATCTTAAGAAAAAAGAGAGACAAAACAAACAAAAGAAACAGCAAGACATGGAAAGCCAGAGAGAGAGATCTTCCAGCCACTGGTTCATTTCTGAGATGGCTACAACAGCCCCATACTCAGTAAAAGCAATGTCAGGAGCTTCATGAAGGTCTCCCATGTGGGTGAAGGGGGCTGGTTTTTGCTGTTTTTTCCCAGGCCATTAGCAGAGAATCGGAGGAAAGGGAGCAGCTGTGACTCAAATACCTTGCAGGCAACAACGTTACCTGCTATGCTACAATGCTGGCTCCCAAATCCCATCTTTAAGATCTTTGGGGGCACCTTGAGATTTTAATCAAGTTGGAACCCTCCAAAAAGCCTAATATAGCACCTTCAGTCTTTCAACAAATGTTCCTTGGCTCCCAAGGTGCAGATGCAATGGTGAACAAAACAGATCAGGAGTCAGCCCTAGAATTCACCAATTCCTGGTGACCAGTGGAATGGGATTTAAAAAAAATGTAACATATGAAATATTACAAACCCTGACTGAGGCTAAAGAAAGAATGCCCCAGGAAGTGAGTGCACTATGATTCCTGACCTAGCTGGGGATTCTGGGAAGGCTTCCCTGAGGAGGTGGCCTTGACAATGAGGCCTGAGATGTGAACAGGATGCAGAGGACAGGGAGCAGCTGAGCTTTCTAGCACTTTGAGACTTTAAGACCCCTATGAGGCAATGACTGTTCTACTTTTCAAGGAACTGTAATGCTACTTTTTTTGTGTTTGGGAGAGAGGTGGAAGAAATCCCAGAAATCACATCTAAATTCTTTATTTTACCTTAAAGGGAGTAAAATATCCTCACCCAAGGAATGGAAATAAAGTCCCTACCCCACTGCTGGCTAGACTGCCAGCCCAGTGTCCTCTGACCTCATGATCACAAGAATGGCAGATTCAGCAGCCACAAGGATTGTGGGGGCAGTGATGATGGCACTCTGTTAGAAACAAAACAAAAAAAGAACAGCTGATCCCACACTTCAGGAACATGTAGTGTTGGGGGTTGAAGGGTTTCACTGTGGAACACTTCTCAGACAAACTCAGCTTTGCTGAGATTGGCTCAATGTGTTCCATGTGTAAACCAGGAACAGCGAGGCAGGCAAGCAGATTTTCTTGTCCGCATAAAAAGTGAAAGCAAGATGTAGCGGTGATAATGGAATGGAAGCAGTGGGATCAATCAATCTGGGGTGAGCCTGAGGGTCCATTGATTTTAGCCATTAGCCCAGCATGAACCGCAATTATCGCCAAGCTCTGACTTTCACCACACCTGAGCTTTCCTTGCCCCTCACAGAGATAACAAGAAATAGGAGCCCTCAATAATAGGCTGGACACTTTTTCTTTTAAGTGCCTGTGAACTCTGCAGGGCACTTAAGATTACTTAAGTAACACTTTTCAGTATCGTCTCCATTTCTTTTTTTCTTCTCTTGATAATACTTTTACAACAAGTAAAAATAACCCAATTCTCAGTCTCCATTCTCTTTTCAGCTTGGTAAGTAAGGCTGGCAGAGTTGGTTAGACGGACTGGTAAATGTGGAGGAAAAATCCACATCTTGGTCCAGTCTGGCTGCTTGCAATACTTAGAAGTGAACATGGGCATGAGTTCAAGTGGCTTTGCTATAACTGTATTTGCTGAGCAATAATAATAAGAGAAAATATTTCAAATGCTGCCTGGGGGTGGGTATTTCTTAAAAAAAAAAAAAAAAGAGGCCTCATTAAGAAAGGAGAACAAGATTCCACTGCCTACAGATTAAATCTCAATTTCCTCCCCACTTCATGCCTCTTCAGGGGACAAAAGGTTGGAAAGGTCCCTCCCAACCAAACAAGATCTCCCAGTGCCTTTCTGTGATTCTTAGCCCCAGCTCTGTGATGCTTCGTTGAAACATGATTTACAAAATAATAATAATAAATACATACATACATACATAAATAAAATGAAATACCCTGCCACAGTTGTTCCCCCAGACAATGAGGTCGCTTGCAGGCCGGCATTTCCAATGTAGGCAAGTGACAATGCTGGCAGAATTCTCAACCTGTTGCTATAGTAGCAGAAAGAATGTGATCCAAATCCTCCCGTTCCCTGGAGAACATTAACCCTTCAATGCCCTTTACCGGCGCAGAAGCACCTGGGAGGAATTCCAGTGTTCCCTTGGGAGCTGGATGCCAAGGTTGGTGCATTTGCTTATTCATGCTTTCACTCATTCAATACTTATTTACTTAGATCCTGGTATTCTGCCTCCTGGACTCTCAGTGGTAAATAAGGCAGATGTGGCCTTTGGCAGTGAGCAACAGGAGGATATTAAATTATTGCTCAAATAACAACATGTTATGTAGCCTCAGTGTGTGTGGGAGACATATAAGGTTTTCAATGATGAAATCCTTGGCAGGAGAGTAACTTCTCCATAACAAGCCGCTTACCTATTTATTGAGGTAGGCCCATACATTCTGGGTCACTGGAATTACTGCTTGCATGTATTACTCTGACAAAACCAGAACTAGAAATGCCTGCTCCAATTATATCACACCTTTGATAAATGATCAAATCCATATTCTACACAAAATAGAAACCGAAATATCTATTAGACAACTGCTGCAACTGGTGGCTAACGATGAGGTGATGATTCTGTATTTACACTCAGTCGCCATGCAACTAACTTGGAAAGGGAGGTCTCAGGAAACACATGAGGGGCAGGCATTCAGCCTCACAGTTACAACCCTGTGAGACTTGGGTATGGGTTGGAGGCCCAGTCTCCTGATTGCAATTTCCTGCTAACATGATTCCTGGGTGATATTTCAAGTAGTTGAGTCTCTGTACCACATGGAGACCTACAGTTCCTCTACTCCTAGCTCTGGCCTGGTTTTGGCCTGACCTAGCCCTGCTTATGTGGGCACTTGGGGAGTAAATAGGCAGATGGGACAATCTCCGTGTTTTTTATTCGACCTTTCAAATAAACTAAAAACAAAACAAAACAAAGCAAAAAAAATCAACTTAACAAATATACAGATGGGGGGCCAGTATTGTGGCTTATCCAGTCAGACTGCTAAATGTGATTGCCAACATCCTATATGTATGCCAATTCAAGTTCTGGCCACTCCAGATCCAACTCCTTGCTAATGTGTCTGAGAAAGCAGCAGATGAAGAACCAAGAACTCGGGACCTTAACGAAGTTCCAGACTCCTGGCTTCAGCCCAGCCCAGCCCTGGCCATTCTGGACATTTAGGGAGCAAAGTAGCAGATGAAAAATATCTCTCTCTTTTTCTTTCCCTCTCCCTCTTTCTCTTTAACTTTGTCTTTCAAATAAACAAATGTTGAACAACAAAAACAAACACACAAATACATACACACACACACACAGAAGAACCTGTAATAACCTGTGAAAAGTCCCCACCAGAAAAAATTTATGTCTGTCGTCAAGGCAATAATGAAACTTTAGGAAGTAACAATTTAGAAATGAACCTGCAATCCATCTTGCTTTCCTTAACACTCTGGTGTGGAAATCTCATATTGGTGAACACCCCCTTTGTAGATTTCCTTGTTTCCCATGGAGCATGAATACTAACAAGGTGGGGTTTCTCACGAGGATAAACTCAGTAGGTAATGGTATCCTGAGAAGCATTTTGTGAAATATGACTGCATCGATCAGACTGCCAAGAAAAAGCTAGAAAGAAAGACGACAGTTGCTAATCTCACTGGCCAATAGATGTGGTCACAGGGACGTTACATAATCGTTTGGCCCTCAACATCCTCAGAGGTAAATTTGATAACCCATGCAGATTGAAAGGCACAGACTATGCAATAGCAAGGCTTATCAATGACTGATCTTCCATAAAGTGCTCCATTCTTATGCTCAGTCACTAACCATAAAACATGATTTCCGCCCTGGTAAACATTTGAGAACAGCAATCACATGTTAGAATACTGATTTCCTTTCTCAATGGGAGAGACTTTGGCTACAAGCCTTCCATGAAACCAGTCAGGAAAAGATGGGCATTCAAGGTTTTCAGCCACCGTGATATGCTGTTGGGCTAGGGTTTAGGGAAAGTCCTCAGGTTCAGCTGAGATGGAAACAGGTTCCTTTTCAAGCTGAGAAAGGGACTGCAACACAGGGATGCTGTGCTGTGTGACTGTTCTGCTTCTGGAACTGAAGAGCCAGGTACAGACAGAAATAGAGGCACCCCTTGAGGATCCCACTGCTCATTCACCTTCTGCAACCACCAAGCTTCAACATCTCGGGAAATTCTTTCTCCTTTGAAATTCCAACAGCCCAGTCACGGATTAGAGAGACCCAGAGTGACTTCCACCTGATGTCACAAAGAAACAGGCTGGCTCCAGTGATAGACATTTCTCTGAGATCCAGCTCTGGCTTCCTAGGGGACTTTCAAGGTAGGAAAAGGAGCCACTTCCTCAAACGCCCCTCTGCCACTGTGAATGCTTACCTTAACAGCGCTATTTCTCCACCTCTCTCTGCATCCATGCCTTTTGCAGCAAGGCTCTGCAGGTGGAAGATATTCCCCTGCTCCTTGACATGGTATGTGGCTATGCGGGTTGCTTTGGCCAACAGAATGTTAACAAAATACTAACAGTCAAAAGCATGAAATGAGCTTGCATACTGAAGTTTGTGCCCTTGAGTCTGCTGTCATCAGGATAATAATATGCTCAAGCCACCAGCAGGTGCCGGGAGAGCGTGAGGGACCTGTCAGGCAGTCACCTCCATATGAGCTCAGCCTACAATCAGCTGATCCACCCTCAACCTGAAGACACAGGGGTTACCAGATGCTCTGCTGCATTCCAGAGATTTTGTGGTAGTTTGTGTGGCAGTGTTGTGGTGGCAACAATCAACACACATACAACAGTGAAATCTCACTTATAGTTTAGGGTTAAAGTAGAGTTTGCCTTATTTTATTTACTTGTTTATTGTTATGATGACAGATGTGCAATTCTCTCACATGCTAGTTAGACTACAAGATCCTACAAGGACAGTTCTAACACATTCCCAATGCCCAGGATATGTTTATCAGTCCATACCATGTTCTATGCCTCAGGGGTTACACCAGCAAATGACACACAATTCCAGCCAACATTCTGTACCTGCAGCAGGGTCAATGTGCTTTTGCCTAAAGGTGATAATAAAGTTTACTTCTGCAGCTGGAAGTACACCAAGTCACTAGCCAACTCTAACTGCCCGAATGTTATTTGCTTAAGTTCAGGGGATTGGAATAGGATCACTGCATTTCTTTAGTAAAAAAAAAAAAAAAGTTTGATAAAACTAAATTACTTTTTTTTTCATCTTCGACAAACACCAGAGCTTCTGAAATTATTCCAGTTTCCATCAACAGACATCTGAATGAATATTTTGACACAATGTCTAGTCATCTATATTGAAAAAAAAAATGTTTCAGACCACAAGAACTGAGACTTGCTCCCCCAAATAACAGCACTCCTGCATCCAGTGGCTGAGCCTCTTCTGAGTTGAACCAAGTATTTGTAACGACACTAGCATGTATAAGAGTGAGAACTGAGCACTAAGAAATGTGGACCAGAGAACTACACTGCAAGTAGTCACTGTTTGCACACAAACTATTTCTAGATGCAGCAGGTTAAAATAATAATAATGATTTAAAAAACCACACTTACTATTTCTCATGTATCCTTGAGTGATCAGATCCTTGTCTGATCTTTGCATGGCCCACGCAAGTGTCTGAACTCAACTGGCTGGTCTAGGATTCCTCTACTCTATGTCTGGTGTAGGACCCCCTATCAGTGGGCCTCAGCAAGCAAATCCAGGAATGTCAGAATGATGAACAGGGCTGGATTCCAAGAAAGCAACCAGAAATGCAAGAGTCCTCATAAAGACAGAAGCTGGCAGCTACACACGCTGACTTCTACTCATTCTATTGGCTACAGTAAGTAATAAGGCCAACCTCAGATTCAGGGACTGGGGACATTTCCACATCTTGGTAAGAGGATTGGTTAAGTCTCATCACTACAGAATTGATGCAAAGAGGAGAATAATTAGGACCACTTTTGCAAACAACCTATTTTCACAGCATAATGGGATTTCTGTTGGAGCCAAGGTTTTAACCTTCATCTCAGAGTCCTCAGGTAAAGGCTTACCGTAACAGTTTCATTTCTTCCCATTATTTAACTCAAGCCAAAGCAAAGTACTCTATTCTCAGCATGCTTTTCTTTCACTCTTTGAAGATGTGGCTCATGTATCATCCTCACAAGAACTTGCTTGGAGCAAACCCTTTTGGGATGCTGCTGCTTGCCTTGGGATGTGCCTACAGATGAAATGTGAAAATGACCATCAAGGCTACAGCTTCCAAAGGTCCCCACAGCATGAGGTGCATTAAAGAATTAAGAAGAAATTGCAGAAGGAGAACACAAGAAGACCAGCCAATCGCCCTATGTAGTAGTAAATTGGGACCTACTAAAGACTCTAGTTGGGCCAACTGCAAGGTTAAGTGCCCGTCTTTCCATCTCCCTACCTCATTCACCTTTGCCTAACTGTGACCACTTAGGAAATGCATCATACTACAAAACCTATATCTACAAGGGCTCTCCCAAAGATGAGGGCTGAAAGATACACACAGCCTCACTCGGATGCTGAAGCAGTGGGTGCAACATCCCTGTAACTGAAAAATTGCCATGACCCTTTGGTTAGTTCTTCTCAAATTATTTTAACACTTAGTTCAGACAGCACGGGATAGGAGAGAAAAGAAGCCCTGCAACCAGGATGGTAAAGGAACATCAAAGCTAGACAGTGTCTTAAGGTTCTTTGGAGGGAATATCGCAAATGGGAAGGAAAAAGTGCATGATGTTTGCAGGCAAGACTTCAGAAGCGGACAGTCTAGCTCCTATGCATATGTTCAGTTTTTGTTGTGCTTGATAGAATTGATGCTTTAAAGGACTAGGCATCAAGAGTGAACAAAATACACTGTGAAATAAAAAAAGAAATGGTAAAGTCATCATCAAAGTTGTCTTTCAAAAAAACCTAAATTCAAGCAGATGGTGCATTCACTTGGGTTTACAAAGAAACCCTAGGAAGTTCTGAAAAACATATTGAAAAAAGGCAATCCCTGGGAGGGAATAATGCCCACCCTCTTACCAACTGGATTTTCTCTGAGCACTGGCTCTGGGAGGGAAGCAGGTTTGGTAGGGCTCATGATGTTCTTGCCCTGTAGCACGCAACACCCAACAGACAAATGGTCATTAGACCAGAATGGCAATCAGGAGTAAGAACAGCGGCGCTCTGGGATGTCTCCTATCAGAACGTCTGGCTTCAGTTCCAGCTATTCTACTTTCTCTCCATCTTTCTGCTAATACGTACCCTGTAAGGCAGCAGGTGATGGCTCCAGACCTTGGTTACCCATCCATGCGGGTGATGGAGTTTGGGTCCCTGTGTTTGGCGTGACGTAACCACAGCTGTGTGTGCAACTGGAGAGTGAACCAGCAGACAAAAGATCTTTCTAAATTTATCAATCTCTTTGCCTTTTTAAAAACTGATTTATTTATTCTACTTGAACATCAGAGTTATAGACATAGAGAGGGAGAGAAAGATCTTTCATGTGCTGCCACTCGTTCACTCCCCAATCGGCTGCAATGGTCAGAGCTGGGTTGATTCAAAGCCAAGAGCCAGGAGCTTCTTCAGGGTTTCCCATGTGGGTACAGTAGCCCAAGGCCTGGGGGCATCCTCCACTGCTTTTCCAGGCCATTACCAGGGAGCTAGATCAGAAGTGCAGTAGCCCAGAACCGAACTGGCGCCCAAACGAAATGCTGGCACCACAGGTAGAAGATTAGCCTGATATTCCACTATGCCAGCCATTCTGTTTGCCTCTTAAATAAATAATAGATCAATCAATAAATTTTTTAAAAAAAAAAAGGCTATCAGTTACTCCACAGGTGACTTCGAGTGACAGTTACTTGTTTTTTGGTAATAACTAAAAATTCATAAATATACATTTGTAATCTCCAGATGAAGTCATTATAATGGTCCCCACCTTGACTTCTTGCTCACTCTGCCTTAAAATACCTTGCAATTTTGGATCATTTAAGAAACTAGCTGGGCCCGGTGTGATAGTGTAGTGGTTTAAATCCTTGCCTTGCACGTGCCGGGATCCCATATGGGTGCTGGTACTAATCCTAGCGGCCCCACTTCCCATCCAGCTCCCTGCTTGTGGCCAGGGAAAACAGTGGAGAACGGCCCAAAGCCTTGGGACCCTGCACCCACGTGGGAGACCCAGAAGAGCTCCTGGCTCCTGGCTTCAGATTGACTCAGCTCTAGCCATTGCGGCTGCTTGGGGAGTGAACCATCGGACTGAAGATCTTCTCTGTCTCTCCTCCTCTCAGTATATCCATCTTTCCAATAAAAATAAATAAATCTTAAAAAAAAAAAAGAAGAAAGAAATTGGCTGGTTGGGCTGAAGTCATTCTTCACTTCTGATTACTTAGGGAAGGAGAAGCCAAAGCTGTTGGAAAGGCAAACGACTGGCCTCATCAGCACAAGAGCACTGAGAACCACAATGTGGGAGAATTCCAGAGTTCTCCTCAGCAGAGAATACTCCCTGCTTTCCTGAAAGGCTGTAGCACAGCGGTGGAGGGGGGTGTGCACTCTAAGGAAAAGGGATTCTCATGCCTGTGCCCCCGCCAGACATACTTAGACATAACACATTTCATGTCCTTTTTTTTTTTGCACCAGAAAGCTTAAGCATGCCATTCTCAAACCATGTTTTTAGAACTGTTGTTCACCACAGTTTTAATACCTAGCTATGTTAAACACAGGATGCTCCTAAAGAGAATCATTAAGTTGGCTGCATAGAGAAGCCAGAATGAACCCGAGTTGCATTTGTAGAAACACCTGGGGTTGGGGTCCAACTCTGCCAAGTGTCACGGGAACCCTTCTGTGACAGGAACGCTACTATCCCAGTTTCCTGCGCCACAGTTATAAAAGAGTGTTTGGTGCACCACTTAAGCCACCACTTGGGACACACACATTCCTTATTGCAGCTCCTGGGTTCGAATCCCAGCTCAGCTACCAATTCCAGCTTACTACTAATGCACCCAATTGGTTGGCAGTTGATGATAGTTCAAGTACTTGGGTCCCTGCAGCCCCAGATGGCAGACCTGGATTTCGTTTCTGGCTTTCTGCTTCACCCTGACACAGCCAGTGCTGCTGCAGGTGGCATTTCAAGAATAAACTGGCAGATGAGAGATATCTCTCTGCCTTACAAATACAATTTTAAAAATTAAAGCCTTAAATTCAGCTTCTTAACACGAATGTGATCACGCTGTAATTCCTCACTGCTGTCAAAAGAATGGGGCTGATTTGCACACTGCATGATGGCAGCATAGTATCAAATTAACTTTACACTTTACACGCAGCGCAGCCTTATCTTCCCTACGACGTTTCCCTTGAAATCCCTCCAACAGTCTCGGCTAGACCAGGAACCAGAGGCAGCAGTTTTATTCCTTCACATGCCAGTTGCAACCAAAAGCTGGTGTTCAGAATAAATATTTGAAGCACAGAGGCCAGTTAACAATGCAGCGCTTGATTGCCCTGAATGACTTCTCCCAGGCACAGCAATCCGGGACGGAATCCTTGGCATCAGCCCCAAGCAAAAAAACCTGCTCCCCAGCCGCCTCCCATTGCCTTCCGACCCTCCCCTCACGAAGTTCTCAACCCTCTACAAAGATCTCTCTTTTTCTCTCTACATACCACACCAATCCCACACTGAACATAAGAATTTTTTTTTCTCCTTCCCAGAACAACACAGATTTAATCCAACACTTTCACACTCATACATATTTGCACTAGATCAACTTATCTCTTGAAGGCTTTCCTCACACCTCACTTCTGGCACTTTAACATCCAACACAGAAATCTTTTAATAAGGTTTTCTGTGGCTTGTTTTCTAACAGTGGTGAAATGTCATCTTGGTCTATTTTAAAACTGTGGTCACAATTGGACTGCACTACAATTAGCCAGTGGTGCCTGAGTATTAAAGCACCCACAACTCTCAGTACTTTTTCTTCCCTAAAAATCTATTCCGAAAGCTATGAGATTTTTTTTTCCTGTACAAGGCCAAAAGGGCTAGCAGTACTAACCAGCGCTAATCAGTGTGTTAAGCTCTGTTCCAAGGCAATGCGATCAGGTTACAAGTTCTAATAACCCCTGTGAGGCAACGAAGTTTCTTTGTTTTACGACCCTCAAAAACTAAACAACCAACCCAACCCAACAAAACACCTTCCATTCTCTGTGAAACTCTGCCCATTGTAACACCATCGAGAGGCAAAGCTGACACTGAAGCAAATACAGGTGATGAATCGGTCCTGCTCCTCGCAGCCCTTACCATTCGGATTCTCATCAGGGCTCTGGCTCCTCCTGAGGTGGGGAGGCAAGAGGTCCAGGCTGTGTGTGCGGGTGGATGTGTGCTCCCTGCGTGCTTCAACAAGACTCTCCACCGTCTGACTGCCTGTCTGCCACTCGGGCCTCTCGTCTGGGTGGGAAGGGCCAAGACGTGAAAAAAAAAAAAAGCGCAGGTTACTCACTGGCCTTCCTGGGAGGACACACCCAGGAGGAGGGAGAGGCAAGGCGCAGACAGAGAGATTCTTCTAGGCGGGGCCCAAGATCATGCTTCTGATTCCTTTTGTTATTACTTCCTGGACTTTCAGCTCAGTCTGCATGGGCACTTAAGGGAGGCAAATAACACGTGGGTACCTGGATTCCAAGAGCGCCCAGCAAAGGTTACTTACAAGGCAATGCTTCAGCTCACATCCCTTTAAATTCAGCCCTGAGATGTGTTGCTGCCGTGAGAGCATTCACATTGGCAAAGGAAAGGAGAGTGAAAGGTTACTCCGGGCCAAGGGCCTGCAAGAGCCCGCCAGCAGGGAACAAATCTGGATGTGGTTTAAACAGTGAATTTCCAGGGGCCAACGTTCAGACTCAATTTCAGAAAAGCCAAGATTCTCAACAGTCTCCCAGGGTCTATGACCTTTGCCTTGTACAAGAGGCACATTCTTCGAATAAGGACCTGTAAAAGCAAGGTATCAGAAATGGAGTCATTGTCAAGGCAAGAACTTGTTACCTGATAGCCTGGCCTCTGATTACTCCTGAAAACAAGTCACCTCATAAATGGAGGGGTCCTTGAGGAATTTGTTTGGGTGCATGTGGGTGTTCATAAGCAAGTGACCTACAAAACGCAGGAGATAAAACCAAGGTGAGGAGAGGCCAACCATCATAGGAACAAAGATGAGGCCCTTAATTCACTGTGCACTGAAAATGCCTGGGTAGGGAAGGTATTGTTACCTCTTTCACATGTGAGCATACATGGACTCAGGCTGGATAACCTGGCTCCCGGCCACCTCTGGGACAGAAGACCCAGGATGGAGACCCAAATGTGCCTGAATGCAAGCCCGTGTACTGCTCCACGGCAGCCAGGAACATCTCCTACTCCGCCTTACTACACGCTCACCTTTCTTCCACTTGCATGAACCTTAGGCCAAGTCACCTTAATTTTGATGGCTTCTCAAAAATTGATATGCCATAGTTTTAATAACATGCTGTAGGATGTTAACAAGCATAATAAAGGCTGGGGAGAGGAACCCATATACTGTATTGGTTACTGAAGCTTTTCCCAGACTTCAAAGTGCTAATATCTACCATGGCTTTCCAAGCTTGGAGGGTCACGTTTCCTTGGCCAAAGATGTGCCGCCCTTGGAAGGGTGAGGATCTTATCAAGTATGGAAAGCATAGCTACAGAGATGGGATACTTTAGTTTTCTTTCTCTTGTATTTACAAAAAAAAATTATAAGCAATATAGGAAGGCATAAAATAAAAAGTAAAAAATCTCTCTACTATCCCTAATAATCAGTCCGATTCCCCAGAGATAAGCACTGTTGAGCAACTTCTTGGGTATCGGGTTCAGGAATTTTTAAGTAAATAAAGCATCTGGGAATACTCTCTAAAAAACACTACTGGAATTTAAGTATACCCAAGGATGTGCTACTCAGCATTATTCTTCACCTAATGATATGTTTGAGATTTTCAATATCCGCATGCAGACCTGCCAGAGCAAGTCAGACTCAAGAAAAGTAGAACGTGGTCTAAGATACTACACTACCACTTTATAAAGAGCCCCCCTCCCCTGGTGTGGATCACAGAATACTTTATGACTTGATATCAGAAAGTCTGGCTTCCCATTCCAGTTTTAGCTGTGTAACCAAACATACTTAACACTCATGTACAACATGAGGAAGAGTCCAGCCATGACGTCACAGGTCGTGCTGTAAGGATCAGTGACAATGAAGGCAATACCCCCGGAGAGAAGCACGGCCAATCTTGGCCAAAACTGACACAGCACGTCTTCCATGCCAGGCACTGAATGTTGTGGCATTAACACAGTAAACAGGATAGTACAATGTGGCCCTCTTATTCATCATACCCAACATTGACTGTCCACCCAGAAAGACATCTATAGGGGGAGATTAGGTAGAGCATTCTTGCTTTGAAATGCACATATATTTTAAAGATAGATATAAAAGTTTTTCTTGGTAGTTCTAGCAAATACAGTATGACAGAAACATCAAGTACACAATGACCTTGAAGGAAGGGTCTGAACCCAAGTAGTGCTGCCTTTCCACCTCCCAAGGCTGTGATTGTGGATTAATGAGAAGAAGTTTGTAAAACACCTTGTATGCTGCGGATCTCTGTATAAATGTCAGGTCATGACCGTTACTCACTCTGGCTCTCTGAATGTGGCAGCAGTGAAGCTTGATACTTGCTGTAAAAGATAAACCAAGTTGTTGCCTTTGACCCCTGCCCAGCACAGGGCCTACTCAGCTGCTGTTCCCAGAAGAGGTCCCGCTGAACATCAACCAGCAGGTGAGCTCAGGTCAGTTGGAAAATGGGACCTGCTTATTGTTTGCATATGGACACACCTTTTCCTTCATTCCTGCTACGTCATCAGACCTTCTGAATGGCTTCCTTTTAGAATACTTACAAAGCTATTTTTTCAGTCTTTGTTATGGAAAGTTTCAAATATATACAAAATACATAGAAAGGTAAGTGAACTCCACTAACATCAACTTTATCTATAATCAATTCTTTTAAATCCTGTTTCCCCTATAGCCCTATCACTCTGGATTATTTTGAATTTCCAGTATTAAGCCTTCTACCTTTAGAAATGTCTCTGCATATATCTCCAAAATATAAGGATTTTATTTCAAAGCACAAAACATTACATATAAAAATGAATCATATTTACTTAACATTCTCTAATACCCAAAAAGTATTAAATTCCTACCAGTGTCTCAAAGATTACTCTTCTTTTTGCCTTACAATTGGCTGACAGTAATTGTCTGACAGTAATTGTATATTGTAATCTAAATGTTCTTCCATCCCTTTTTTCTTCCTTGCAACTTATTTGTAGAAGAACCTGGTTTTTGTCATGTAGTTTGTCCCAGAGCTACGTTATGATAGGATGGTCTTGATTTTTCTTTGCTTGTTTTCATTTTATTTAAAAGACAATGGGGCCCGGCGCGGTGGCGCAAGTGGTTAAAGGTCCTCGCCTTGCATGCCCGGGATCCCATATGGGCGCCGGTTCTAATCCCGGCAACCCCGTCTCCCTTCCAGCTCCCTGCCTGTGGCCCGGGAAAGCAGCAGAGGACAGCCCAAATCTTTGGGACCCTGCACCCGCGTGGGAGACCCGGAAGAGGCTCCTGGCTTCGGATCGGCATAGTATCGGCCGTTGCGCTCACTTGGGGAGTGAATCATCGGACGGAAGATCTTCCACTCTGTCTCTCCTCTCTGTATATCCGCCTTTCCAATGAAAAAATAATAAAAAATAAATCTTTAAAAAAAAAAAAAACAATGACAAGAAGAGCACGAGAGAGAGAGAGAGAGAGAGAGAGAGAGAGAGAGAGAGAGAAAGGGATCCCCCATCTGCTGGCTCACTCCCCAAATGCCCACAACAGCTGGCTAGGCCAGGAAGAAAACAGGAGCCTGGAAATCCATCCAGATTTCAGCCACAGGTGGCAAGAACACAAGTTCTTGAGTCACCAGCTGCTGCCTCCACCATCTGGCTTAGCAGGAATCTGGAACTAGAAGGGCCTCCAGAGCTTGAACGAGGTAACCTGATATGGGATGCGGGTGTTCCAGATGACCATCCTAATGAGGGTATGATTTAACATGTTCCTCTACCCCTGTATTTCTTGCCAATTCATGGTTAGACCTATGTCAAGAGCATGCTTCAGTGATGGACAATTAGTAGATGTTCCACAAACTGTAGTTACTACACATCTCACTATACTTTCCTTATGCCTAACACAGTGCCTAGAAAGCAGTGATTCTTCAGTAAATGCTGGGTTCGTAAATAAAGGGATGACTGGCTGACTCTGTCCCAAGTTGATGGTGGTTAGCACACAGAAGTGAGGAAAACAAAGTCTCAGCTTATGAATTTGCATGCAGTTGGATGAAGAAATAGAAAAGAGCACAGTGTCCTCCCAAATTCAATGATCCCAGCTGACTGGGAAGCAGCTACTGTTGGTACCCCACAGATCGGGACTGAGAGAAGAGCAAGATCAATCCAACTGCCACGGAGGATGTGAGAAGACATCAACTTCCTCCAAAGCTGTCAGGACCTCTGACTTGACCTGAGGTTCACCGACGACTCACCCAAGGCAGTGGACTGAACTGTGTACTCCTCTGGAACCTGAAAATGTGACCTTATTTGCAATAAGCGTCTTTCCAGATGTACTGCTAAGATAAGGTCTTACCGGCTTGGAGAGGAGTCCTGATGACATAAGGAAGGTGGTGGTAGAGGTCAGAGTTGTGCTGCTCTGTATCAAGAGATGCTAAGGATAACCACAACCACCAGCCCTAGGGACACACTGATAGTGAATTTCTAGCCTCAGGGTTATGAAGGAATACATTTCTATTGTCTAAAGTCACTTGGTTTGTGGCGATTTGTTGACAGTAGCCCTGGAAAATTAAAAGCATCCAGAGAACTCAGACCAGAAGTATGGATCTCTGCATCTACCTGTGGCTTAAACTGTTTAGTGGGGAAGAGAGAGGGAGGGGGTGGGGAAATTCTAGACAAGAGAAACAGAATCAGCTTTCCTTTGTCTTACATCCAATGGCTGACTCTTCAAAGCGGCCCAAGTATTAACAAGGCAAGCCTGCTTTACCTGAAAGACCGGTGGGCAGAAGTCGCAGAACCTGTCCCCCTGATAGCCTGACCATGGGAATGCTCCTTGCAGCTCCTACAGGTGGGGAAGGGGGACTATTCGTGCAGCCTGGGGATGGTGCCAGGGGCATTCTAAGCTGGGCGTCCAGCAGTCATTCCTCACTGCATCTCAGGAGAGCTCTGTGGGCTAATGGAACAGAACGTCCACACACTGCGGAACAAGCACAGCCTTACTTAGCTGGCCAAGCCAGGCCTCCACATACCTCGTCCCCAGCACCATGATGAGAACCCAGCACAAAATGCAGCAGAGACCT